GGGTTTTGAGTTTGAACTCCAATCAAATTATAAATAATGAAATTGAAAACAGATGAGCTTACATTTCATTCCAAATTCTAAGTTAATCTTTTTATTATTAAGTTTAGAATTTGTATGAATTTTATTTATTTATTTAAATTTTTTGATAAAAATAAAGCTACAACTTGAAGATAAATGAAAGAATTGCAAATGCTCGAATTTGAATTTTAAAATTGGTAAATGTCATCTCTTAAATTATTAAAATCAATTAAGAAGTTTATTTAATTAATTTAATTTTAAGTTGAATGGTTCTTAATTAACATGCACAATCATAGATTTTAGTTCAAAACCCATTTAGACTTGCATCAACTTTATCCAAATTAAATGATGTCTTCACACCATTTATTTGAGCACGTCATAGAAAGTTCATATGTGCATGTGTTTCAGCAAAGCTTGTTTGAAGGGTTCAATAATGTCTGCTTTGGTTTGCAGATGGTACAGTTCGAACCTTATCAATTATCACCAAGATTGATTGATTATGCTTCAATTTGAATACCGCCTTGGTATTTTGGTGACTCTGGTCTAAGATTCAATGTCGTCGGCCTAATTAACATACAAGTAATCTTTTTTATTTTTTTTATTTTATATACATATATATTTTACAGTTCCATTGGTATATTGCAGCATTTGATTGAAAGATAAATTCACACACACACATACGTATTAGAACAATGAGATAATATAGATATATTGAGATTTGCATATGTAATGTATCTTTATAATAAAAATAATAACGACAGTAATAATATTATTAATTAATTAATTAAACTATCCTATTTATAAAAGAGTTTAAAAGTAATTAACTTTTATATAATAAAAACTAGTTATATAAGGTAGAAGCACCCATGATTAAAGTAAAAAAAAGGTTGTGATACTATTATAATGATCAATTTAAAAGCTTAAGCTGGCACGTCAGAATCCATGATTAATCAACTTCAAATTTTTAGATAAAGCTTGGACAGTGTCAACAATGGCCAACGCAGCCTACCACAACCCTTGGCTATAAATAAACCCATGCTGCCAATTGTCATAACACAAATTAATCAAAGCAGAAAGATATTGTAGCTGCAAGAGAGTGACAAAAAAAAAGAAAAAGAATGGCTTCAGAAACAATATGCGAAGGTATAAAAAAAAAAAAAAGATTAACAAACTTTCAAAGCAAAGATATTTCCTTTACTTTTTAATACAAATTCTTTTGTCCTTATGTAGGGAAAAATTCATGGCCAGAGCTTGTGGGAGAGACAGGGGAGTTGGCAGCAACAACAATTGAAAATGAGAATCCTTTGGTGAATGCTGTGATCGTATTGGAAGGAACAAGTGTGACAGAAGATTTTCGGTGCGACAGGGTTCGTGTTTGGGTTAACACCAATGGGATTGTTGTACAGGTTCCTGTCATTGGTTAACCTATAATGCAAATGGCTAGTAATGTTGTGACAAATTAAGGGTATATTTTCCTCTTTTTTTTTTTTTTTTTTTTTGTAATAGGGTGTGGGTTTTCTGATAAAATTGCTGTGTAACTCAATATCACATGTACCCAAAAAAAAAAAGTCTGATAAAATTGTTGCTTATTTTTAGACTTTTTTTTTTTTTGGTTGCAATATCTGAAACTTGTTTTGCTTTGGAAAAGGATTAATAATTTACAATCAAATACTAAGCCTCTTGAATTTGGAATTACAGAAACAAATGCAAAATTATTAAACATTAATCAATAAAGAAAGGATTACCCTGATTGGTACCATTTTCTAGATTTTAATTTAGCTTCTAAAATGTTTCCAAAATTGTGCACAAAAGCAGATTTTAAGGGAAGTTTTATCAGCACGGGTTGCACTGGTGCCCTTCTCCTTTCTGCTTCTGCCATGCAAGTTTTATTATCTATTCACAAATAAAAAGAAGATAATAAATTTCATTAAAAATAAAAAAGATATAAATTATTGGAGACCAACATAATAACTATTTCAATACTTTCATAACGTATAAGTGTAAGAACTCGATCATTAAATATAAACAATAATCTCTACCAATTTTTATTAAATATGATTGGTAATATAATTGAATTTATTGCTTTTAAAAAAACCTACTTATGGCCAGTAAATATGTAATCCCAATAAGAATCTTGTAAGTCACTGAATAAAAATAATGCTCAGAATAGTTAATTAACATTTTATTGTTAATGAACATGGATATTGAATGTAAATATGAGATTAAAGTATACATTCCTTCTTACTTCTTGGGCAGAAAAGCTAAGACCTCTGGATTTTTTTATAGAGAAAACACTGCAAATTTTTGGACATATGTAGTAATATTTAGTCAGGCTGACTTTGATTGTTGGAGCAGGAGAGACATGTAGATCAGTTGTAAGCCATTCATTTCAAAACCTTGCTCTGATTCAAGATCTATCTTGAAGCATAAGCCCAATAATTAGCTACCAGCCAAGCCTATTGCAATGTCTGCAAGACATGGAACTGTTCAAACTTCAAAGAAGGCTTTGCTGATCATTTATAATATGTATCCGATGACTTTTAATTAAAATCTGAAAGGTTACGTGAGAAGAATTACTCAAGAATGCACCCATTTTCATTCAAATCTTTATCAGCTGCAATTTCTGATCAATAATGATCAACAAACTAATAATTTAATCAGTTCTCAATTCTTATTTATAAATACTATTATTTTGTATTTTCATATCATAAGTAAATCAAAGATTTAATTTTGATAATTAAAATTAAAAATTTTATACTCTATCAATAAATCATATGTATATTGACGGCTCTCACACTTTATTAACATAGTTTATCATGCTTTTAAATTTGAAACAAGATAGAAGAACTCGAAAACAGACCGATAAAGAAGAGCTGATAGCTTATGCAAACTTAATCATACCATGAGTCTTTTGACTTGCTTAATTATGTTTTAATTTCCTGCCCTTGAATACCCTTGGATTCCAGTAGAATTATGCTTTCTTAGTATAAAAAATGAAAAATTCCTATCCATGAAAGTATGATTTCAAATTTTTGTGCTTGCACTAGGCCATGAAAATTAAAGTTAGATGACTTGTAATTGAATTCAATTTGTATGCCATTTGTTTTAAGATTTGTGCATTAAATCAATAAGCTTGAAGCATAATCATATTAAATCTATATGATAAACATTACAATACGAGCAAATTAAGCCTATTTTAAACCGTTCAAAAAAGCTTTTATCTGATATTTATGCGTTTGAAAATAAAAAGAGGTAATAGTAAGTTCATCCAAGCTTGAAAAAACCCAACCAATATAGCCTTACCGGCTTGAATTAATCCAACTAAGACCTCTAAATTAAAACAACAAACCCAAAATTTTGAAAAGGAACATGTTAATCAATGTCAAAGAGAAACTTATAAAAAGAATTCTATAACCAATTCATTATTTTTTATTGATTTTGATGACGATAATAATAATAATAATAATAATAATAATAATAATAATAATAATAATAATAATAATAATAAAATGAAAAAAAAAATCTTAAAATAGCACTTTAATTAATCTTATTGATATCTATAAATAACACTTAATCATATTTATATTAAAATTAGAGATGATCAAAATGATTAAATCTTTAATTTAATACTATTTTTGTTTTACAAGATTACATTCATGGATCGAATTCGAAATTATATTACCCTCTTGGAATCTAGGTTTTTTTTTTTAATTTTTTTCATTTTAATTTTTTTCATTTTAATTTATCAAGTACAAAATAAAAACAAATAATATAATGCACACTCCTATCCATAATCTATATATTTACATATATTTAATAAATAAAATTTTTTATCAAATGATATAAAATTTTATTTTAAATTAATTGGAACTGATATATTTTATTTAAAAAATATATATTAATATATATTTATTAAAAAAATTACATTAATGTAAAAAATAAAAATAATAAGACTAAAAAATTAAATTTTAGTTTTTATTTTTTAAGATGATTTAAAGTACAAAGATTAACTTGTATTCATTAAAATAATTTTGAAATACACATTAACAATGAGTATGAAAATAGATAAAACATAAAAATTCAGATATGACGAGAAACAATCTATTCATTGTAAGGTTGATAATGAGTCGAATCAAAATGAATTTTTATTTGACCTGAATCCAACCCGATTTCATAATAAAAAAACTTGAAACTTGATTTGAAATTTTTTTAATTTTTTAATACTCAAAGCCGACTTGAAATTAATAAAACATTATTTTTTTAAATATAAATATATAATTATATATAAATAAAAATTAAAAAATAATTTTTAATATAATATCGAGTGGTATCGAATCTGTCTAAAACTTAAATCCGATCCGAATTTTTTTTTTTTAATAATACTCGATTGATTCTACCCAAAACTTGAATTTTCAAAAAAAAAAAAAATTCTATGTGATCAGATCTGATCGAACATGTCCAATTGGGGCTGAGCTGCCAACCTTAATCCATCACATATTCTACCAACTAACATTCCTACTTTCCAAGCGCAATGGCCGTTGCAGCTCCACCGTCACCACCCGCCACCCTAGAACCCACCATGGCACCACCCAAAACCACCCTATTAGGCCATCCGTTGTTCACCAGGATCCGCCCAGCCACCCCTTCAGACGTCCCTTGCATCCTCAAACTGATGCACCAAATGGCCATCTTTGAACGCCTAACCCACCTCTTCACCGGCACAGAATCCTCCCTCTCTTCCACCTTTTTCGTCTCCCTAACTTTCTATTCCTTCACGATTTTCCTCCTTGAACTTTCCTCTTCCCCTTTGCCCCCCCCCCTCCCCCTTCCTCTTCCCCCTTCTTTTACCCCCATAGAGAAAATTTCACTTCTAAAGCCCCATAAATAACCCTGAAAAAGAGTCTCTTCCTTTTCTTTTGATGTTGATCTGCACAAATATAGATATTACCTAAACCTGCTAGTGTAACACATGAAAGTGCAAAAGATGAAACTAGCAAATCTATGAAAGAGGGGAGATTGAACTCCTGCCAATAATTCCTGTTTGGGGATTAGTGATTCTATCCAAAAGGGATTACCGTGGAACAATCCAGAGAAAGAAAAAAAAAATTATGAATTTTTTTAACTAGAAATTGTAAGAATTTGAATCCTAATCGCTAAAACTAAAAGTCTCTACCAACAATCCACACAGACTATTGATGAGAAGGATTTCCCACTATAACTGCATTCAAATGATTGGAGAATGCCCACTTACAAAAGGATCAATCTAGCTCTAACCTCTACCTAGTCAGAATCCCTGAGTTTGTACATGATTCTGTACACCTCTTTCGGCCCCAGAGCTACTCGCCCATACATTATAGATGGAACCTAACTATAATGACAAACTTTCAGGCTGAAAAGTCCATATAATGCCCTGTTTTTCGTCTATGTCGACTAAAATCTGACACAAACCTGAAAGAAAGGCCGCAGCCTTCAACCTTGCACTGATAAGGTCGTTCTCCAGTGTGCACCCGTATATGCTCAGTCCTAGCCCATGCCCACTTGAATGACATGGAACAACCTTTCCATGGGCACTTGAGGGGCCTATCATCCTCATGGACTCGTTGATGTAGGATTGCATATTTGTGGGAGCGGAACTTCTTTCCACAACCCTCATATGGGCACCGATTGCGTTTGTGCAACCTCAACTCTTCCTTTGTCCCAAAATTCATATGGCAGCCTTCCAGGTCACATCTATGAGACCCCTTTTTAATTACTTTCTTACTCTGGGTATGAATTGAAGGTTTCCTAGTCTCTTCTGTTGGCAGCACTTCCTGAGATATTTTGCCTTCATTAACACTGCTTGTTGCATCTTTCTGAGCCCTTGGCCTCAATCCTTCACACGGACTTCTAATAAAGCCATTGTCGCCATCTTTTTCAGATGCTTCCTCCAGTTCTCTCTTCCTCTTTCTCCCATTCATGGCACTTGATCTGCAATTTGTCACAGCAGACTGAAGATCTCTATAATCTACCGATGAACAAACTTCCCCATCAACATCAACATCCACATTCACAGTAGCATGACTCTCTCTATGAGTTCTCGAGTACTTTTGGATTGGAATAGTAGTCTGATTTATAGGTGTAACACAGCAAGAAACAGATTCTTCCTCGTTTCTTTCATTTCTAATATCATTTTCATGTCTGCCATCATCTGCAGTAGCATCCGTACAAGACTTCTTTTGAGAACTGCTCTCCCTTTGAACCTCGGAGCAAGCTTCCATCACAATGGGAGTGGGCTGCTTGTCTTTGATTGGCAAATGGGAACAAGCGATAACTTCATCTCCACTGGTTCCTTTTGTAGCTCCAATTTCTTGCAACTCCTCAACATTGAAGGTCACATCAGCATGCGGGTCTTTTTTGGCACAAGGATTCTTAGAAATTACAGAATTTTCTTCCACTGAGAGACTAGTAGGCCGATCAAATTCCATTGGCATAATAGAACCACAGAGAAGTTCTTCCTTGCTTGCATTTATCAGGATTTCCTGCTTCTGTGCTTTGTTCTTAGAAATTGCACCATCACATGAATCTGCAGCAGCACAGGGCTCTGTTGGAACTTCAGATCTATGTCCCACTGTAATGGTACTAGGCCCCTTAGTCAGGGTGGGAGAACTAAAAAAAGGCTCAAACTGACTTCCACTTCCAGTGTTGGTTTTGTGCTGCATTTCATTTCCCAAAGATACACCACTGGAGAAATCCTTTGAACCCAAATTAGTTTTATTTATTACTTTATTATGACCTAAAATGCCCTCATTGTTATTTCTGCTGGCAGCCTCAGTTTCTTGCTGCATTTTGTTATCAGATGTCATACAAGAACAAATCCCTTCGTTCATACAAGATTTCTCAACAGTTATGTCCTCCAATCCTGGATCAAATCTTCCAGCAGATGGCTGAGCAGAATGTAAAATTGCTAAATTAGAAAGATTTATCAAATCATACCTGGCAGCCAGTTCCTCAAACTGTCCTTCAGAAACTGGATTGCAAATTTCACTAACAGTGGCAGTATTTTCCACAAATCTTTCATCAGCTGCAACAAGACAACATTTAGAACACTCGTTAGAAGGAGACATCTCATCATTCTCACTGGCTCTTTGCATAATCTTGATCTCACATTGCTTTTGAGAACTAGCAAAGGCTGTCAAACTACACGCTTCACCATCTGACTCCTTCAAAACTTTGCTCTGATCCTTTTGTACAACTTCAACAACTATGGTATTCTGGATCTCAAGCTGTGCCTGAGATGACTTGGTAGATAAAGATGAAAATAATATAGCAGACTCGCTTTTGAATTTTATCTTGGATTTATTTCCACCATGTTCATCAAGAAGTTGACATGCAGCAGAAGAATCTTCTCTTGGTGGGTCATCCTTCAAAAGTTCAAGGCCCTCACCTGCTCCAGTAGAGTAATCTGGTTTTCCTTTTTTCCTTCTTGAATACTGAATAATTTTCGGCTCATTTTTAGTAATGTTGCCATCTATCTTTTCCGCCAATTTTTTATCCACTTTCATTTCAACACTTTCACATGGTTTAGAGGGTGCTGATGGATGGTTTAGCTTACCTTTTGAACGAGATTTTCTCGACCGCCAGTTGATGTTAAATAACTCTGAACTGCTACATTTATCAGAGAAAAGTCCACTCAATGGCAGTGCATGCTGAACTTGCTTAAAGGGAGAGTTCTTTCTGACCTTGACACAAAACCGCAAGTTAACACCAAGTTTTGAGGTCCAGTCCTCTCCAATTTCATCATGTTCATCATCAATTGCAAAACTGATCAAGTTTAGATCCTCCTGGGATGCAGCATCCAATGGAACATCATTGTAATTGAAAGGGATACCAATATCCTCCGCTAGAGGTACTGCATGTGCCTTTATTTTCTGATAGTCTACATGGATCAGACGAAAGAAAGATGTAAACAACTAATTCATAACTACAATAAAGATGCAAGTATAAGAAATGCTTATTTCTAGATGTGGAAAAATTAAGAAATAAAACTGTGTGAAAAACTAAGAGAAAAGCTGAATGTATATTGAAAAACTGCTCATGAAAAATTATACAGGCACCTTAGGTTTATATACAACTAACTAGTAGGTAAACCAAGAAACTAAATCTTCCTAAAACTGATCTTTTAATTGAGGGATTGTCTATCCTAATTTTTTGTCCTTAATTCTAGGGATACAAATACTTAATTCTAGAGATACAAATATAAATATACATATTACAAGATTACAACCAGTTGCAACTAAGTGCTTTCCCACACTCCCCTTCAAGCTGGTGAATAGGTGTTTTCCATTCCCAGCTTGGAAATAATTTCTTGAAATGTTGCATTGCTGAGACCTTTAGTCAAACACATCTACAAGTTGACCCTTGGTTGATACATGCAGTGTACAAATCAACTCACTGTATAGTTTCTCCTTTATAAAATGTCGGTCTACTTCAATGTGTTTTGTTTTGTCATGTTGCACAGGATTGTGTGCAATGTTTATTACAAACTTGTTATCACAGTAGAGTCTCATTGGTCCATCCTACTCGATCTTCAAGTCTTCTAGGATAATCTTTAACCATAGTAGTTCACAAATTCCTTGAGCCATTGCTTTAAACTCTGCTTCAGCACTTGATCTTGCCACTATATTTTGTTTTTTACTCCTCCAAGTCACAAGATTATTGCCTAGGAAAGTGTAATCTCCTAAGGTGGATCTTTAATCAGTTACTAAACCTGCATAATCCACATCTGTATATGCCTCTAGAACTAGCCTCGAGTTTCTTTTGAATAAGATACCTCTCTCAGGATTGGCCTTCATATTCATATAGTGCAATACACGATAGATAACCTATAGGTACACTTCTTTAGGACTATGCATAAATTGACTTATCACACTCACATCATATGCTATATTAGGTCTAGTATGTGAGAGATAAATGAGTCTTCCAGCTAATCTCTAGTAAATCTCTCTATTTACAGCAACATCTTCATTAGCTTCTCCAAGTTTATGATTAGGATCTATAAGGGTATTTGCAAGTTTACATGCGAGCTTCTCAATTTCCTTCAAAAGTTCCATGACATATTTCTGTTGTGAGATAAAAATACCATGCCGTGAGTGAGCTACTTCAATTCCTAGGAAGTACTTTAATCTCCCTAGCTTTTACATCTCAAATTCTCTAGCCAAATACTATTTTAGAGATTCTCTCTCTTTTTCATCATTTTTGGTTACAATTATATCATTAACATATACTAATAAAACTGTAACTCTCCTTGAATCATAGTGCTTGATAAACAATATGTGATCTTCTTGACTCTGCTTATATCCCATTGCTAGCATCACTTGGGCAAATCTCTTGAACCAAGCCCTAAAAGACTATTTAAGGCCATATAAAGTCTTTTTTCAGCTTGCATACTTTGTTTGTTTCTAGATGACCTCCAAATCTCAGTGGAACCTTCATATATATTTCTTTTTCCAAATCACAATGTAGAAAAGCATTCTTTACATCAAATTGTTGAAGCTGCCAATTGTAATTTGCAACCAATGAAAACAAAATCCTAACTGTATACATCTTGACAACTGGAGCAAAAGTTTCCTCATAATCCATTCTATAAGTTTGAGTGTAGCCCTTAGCCACCAACTTGGCTTTATACCTTTCAACAGTACCATCTGTTTTGTATTTTATAGCGAAACCCCATTCACACCCAATTGAAACTCTACCAATTCCCATGTCTATTTTTTCCCTTCTTTAGCCTTCATTGCCTAGAATCGTCTTTGGTTAAACCTTTACTATCAAAACTCATTTTAGTCATAAGAAAAACAACCATGCCAAAGATAGCAGAATCTGCCGCTATTACCCAATTTGAGGAAATGACAACTGGTAAAACCACCAAAACAAAGAGAGTTGGACAAAGGAGAGATTGAGAAACTAAAAAGTCTATTGAAAACTCTCAAAAACCTACTAGGGTATGTTCTTTGGGTAAAGTCTCTAGTTCAGGTAAAACTCATGGATTAAATATCTTGGTTAAACTTATTACAAGTTCTTGGGTCATTGACTCAAGAGCCATAGACCATATGAGACATTCCTCATAGAAGTTTAGTACATATATCCTGTATCCTAGTAACTACAATGGCAGGATTAGAAGATGTTCAAATTAATCCCTCTTTTGTTCTTAAAAATGTTCTTTCATATTTCTAGATTGTCTACTAATCTAAATCTATACAAAAACTTACTAGAGACATGAACTGCAAAATGACTTTTTATCCCTCCTATTGTGAATTTCAAGACTAGAGTTTAGGGAAGAGGATTGGACTTAATAAGGAGAAGGGTGGACTATACTATCTTGAGACATCAAACAACACAAGTATTATCAAGAATACTTTAACTTTTGTCATTTCTTTATGAAAAATCTAGCAATAAAGACAAAATCTGAGTTTATCATTTTCGTCTTGGACATCTTTCTTTTGAAACTTTGGAAAACATGTTTCCTTCTTTGTTTAAAAGATTAAATGCCGAAAATTTTCATTGTGATGTTTGTGAACTTGTAAAGCATAAACGTGTGTATTTTCCAGTTAGCAATAAAAGAAGTTCTACTCCTTTTTACTTGATTCATAGTGACATATGGGGTCCCTTTACAATTCCTAATATTTCTGGTGCAAAGTAGTTTGTTTCTTTCATAGATGATTGTACCAGGGTCTCTATGATATTTTTACTTGAATCCAAATCAGATGTGAATACTGTGTTTTTAAGCTTCCAAAACATGATCCAAAATCAGTTTGCAATAAAAATCAAGAGATTTAGGTCTGATAATGCAAGAGACTATTTCAACCAAAGTTTATCTACCTATTTCCAAAAAGAAGAGATTATCTATGAGTCATCTTGTGTTAATATTCCACAACAAAATAGAGTGGCAGAAAGGAAAAATAGCCATTTACTAGTCACAACCTGAGCTTTATTTTTTTAAGAAAATGTACCGAAATTCTACTGGGGGAAAGCTATTCCCATTGCCACATATATTATAAATAGGTTACCTTCAAAGGTTTTGAAATTTAAAACTCTTATGGAACTATTCTCACAATTCTATCTCAACTTTAATACCACAAACAACCTCACACTTAAGATATTTGGTTGTACCTCATTTGTTCATGTTCATAGTCATAATAGGGGGAAGTTGGATCCTAGAGCAATTAAGTGCATTTTTGTGTGGTATTCATCAACTCAAAAAGTATATAAGTGCTATCATCCTCCTACCAAAAAATTTTATATGTCTGCAGATGTCACTTTTGAAGAAAGTAAACCATTTTTTACTCAACCTTATCTTCAGGGGGAGACTTCATTCATGGAATATAAAAGACTTCTTTTTGCTTGATTTGTGCTCCTCTTCAACATTTTCACTCAATAATTCTTCTAAATCCAAACCTGTTTCTTTTGAGTCCAAGTCAAATACAAAATTTGAGTCTAAACCCATTCCAAACACAGAAGATGTGACAAAGGATAATATTGTTCTCGATTCTATGAAGGAATTATGGGTGCACTCAAGAAGGAAAGTTCCAGATCCTAAACCAGTGCAAGTCCAAGAACCTGATCCTAACTCTGGAAATGAGGTAACCACAATCTTTGACTCTATTTTTCAAAATGAGCATGAATCTCCTAAAACTATAACTAGTGATTATGATTGCCTATTGCCATTAGGAAAAGAACCAGAGAATGTACTAAGCATCCACTATACCCAATCTCTAATTTTGTTTCATTTGAAAAATTCTCACCATCCCACAAAAATTTGTGAGCCTAAACACTATTTCTATTCAAACTACATTATCCGAGGCATTATCCAGTAAGAAATGGAGGCAAGCCATGAAAATAGAAATGGACGCCTTAGAGAAAAATAAGACTAAAAGATTTAACAAGATTTGGCTAGAAACACCTAAAATAAAATTCAACAATGAAGGTTGCAAAAATTTTCTTCCCAATAAGAGCCTAAAGCTCTGATACAATGTGAAAAAATTAAGAAATAAATTTCTGTGAAAAACTAAGAGTAAAACTGAATGTATATTGAAAAACTGCTAATAAAAAATTATATAAGCACCTTAGGTTTATATACAACTAACTAGTGGGTAAACTAGGAAACTAAATTTTCCTAAAACTAATCCTATAATTAAGGGATTATCTATCCTAATTTTGTGTCCTTAATTCTAGGGATACAAATACTTAATTCTAGAGATACAAATATAAATATATAGATTACAAAATTACAATAAGCTGTAAATAAGTGTTTTCCCACACTAAATAGAATGATGCATAGCAAATACATATTGAATGGTTGAATACCATGTAGCAGCAAGTATTATAGGAAACACACAATAACTTGTGTTAAAATATACAAAATATAGCTCCCCCCCCCGGTTTTCTTTCATTTTGAAGGATTGTTTATAAGAAAAGGAATGTAGCCTAAATGTACTTGCTGATCTACTAATTTGATGTAGAGAATAATGGGGCAGACAGATCTAAAGTCAATCTCACCTGAATGGCAAATTACCAGAATTTTAGCTCCACCTTTGGACTGCAAAAGCTCCTCAACTTGAACAGCATGCTGCAGGCAGAAAATCCTAGGCCTCAGATATTTGTTAGAAGTGTCCCATCCTTCAGAAAACTTAGTTATTGATGTTGCTGGCACATCCTTGTAGGGTTGAGATAGATCAGCAACATGATTGACATTGTCTGCAGAACAAAGCACTAGTTTTACTTTAATCATTGCTTGACAGGCCCAAAAAGGATGTGAAGCAAATTGCTCCCATTCAATTAAATGCTTCGATTGTTCTTCCAGGAAAACAACTATAGAATCAATAGCAAATAACCCACCCTATTCCACAAAAGCAGTGTGCATTTTTCCATTTGGACCGGTTTGTTTATTTAAAATATCATGATAGTATACATATAAAATCAAAAGTATGGAAAATGTTAAAGGCATTTATCTATATGCAGAATGCATTTATGAGACTCAGGATTCTGTATCATAGACAGCAAATGGCATCTCTAAGATAAGGAAGAAAAACAACAAATTTTTAACAGATGCTTTTATAAAAGCATTGTGATAATCAGAACATGACTACCAAATTGTACATAATATCAAAGGATCAGCATAATTGTTTTGTAATAATTATGGCAATGGTTCTGCATACATCGGGTGACTTTACTTAGCCCAATAATGAAGGGAAGGAGCTGCTTTGAGGAGCTTTGAGACAGCCACCAGCAAATCTTTAAGATCAGCTAATTTCCAATTTTCAAGAATTACCTTATCAATTTAGCAGACCAGGAGGTATTAGTATTCCCTCAAACAAGGCATATCTACGGTGAAATAAGTTGAAGTTATAGGAATATAATCCAAACATATTGCACCAAAATCAAAGCTTAATTTGGGATGTTTCAATCATCAATTTACAATAATATTGAAGATTTATTGTTACTTCTGTGCAATCTCTATGTTGTCCTTGGTTAATGTATAGAAATATAGTTCTAATATAATGCTCAAAATGGGTGGTTAATATTTCAGTTTAACAAACTGTCTTACAACAATAACCAGTATCATCATTCTTACATTCGTTCCAGGTTTATGGCAACAGATATTTAAGCAATAGGAAAATAATCCTACCATGTATGTGAAAATTAGAGAGGAGAACATGAAGTCTGAAAGGAACTGATGATAAATATGAGAAACAACAAATTTCAAAAATGGGTCCCATACCTGAAATTGAGTCCTCAACAGGGTGATTGAGACCAGGACATGAATGAGCATTCTTAGGTTCCAAAACTGTTGGACCTTGAATCGAAAGATGATCTGCAGATAGAAGTTCCATTGTTGCTCCGTCAGATGGTTGTACCACAGACATAAATGGATAACCCAGAATTCCACAAGCCACACAAGCCAATGTCCCAGAATCAACTTGAAAATCACATGTCAAATCATCATTCAAATATAAATAATTCATATTTTCCATGTACAAGCTCATCTCTTCCAAGAGATTATTTTGATTAGAATTATTTTCACAATGACTATTGGAAACATTTTCTTGCAGTTTTGTAGAAACTGTAGCAGGTCCACTGGGCAATTCAGAATCTTTGCTTGTATAAGGTAGTAAATCAGGGTCCCATATTATTGCACGATAAGTTGATCCTCTTTTAAGAAGAACAGATAACAATTTATTTTCAGTTAACAAATCTTCTATAAAAGCCTTCTTCACTAACACCTCCCTTTCTTCCTTCCGGCGATCTCTCAAACGAGAACTCCGAGCACCTGGTAGAAAGGATCTTGGCACCCTGGAATACAAATAAGGAGAAAAAAAAATTGAGAAACAACAAAACAGCTCAATACATATTATTATAACCAAAATTTAGAAAACTGAAGCAAAGCACTCCAAAGATTTATTACAAATTCTCTGTTCACTAGAACCACCAGTAATTATAAGAGTATTAGGCTTGATGGAATTAACAAAAAAAGATGGCATAATTGGTGAGTTATTTAGGATTAAGTGCAGTTGAATAAACTGATTTTAAAAAATGTGCCATAAATTTGGTTACAGTCTGATCTAAAAACTAAAAGCACAGTTAGTTTTGTGTCTAATATTAGTCTTGTCAGAACCAAAACTAGAAAAGATACCCTGCCTTACAAGCAATTTAAGCCAAAATCACTCTAAATCTAGCCTTCTGTCCCTGCATTGACAGACCAAACCTTAGATTACTATACCCAGCCTTAGAAATAATGAACTTAAAAACTACACAAATCAGACAGCCTACAAGGCCTATTGTTGCATTTCTCAATACGCTATCTGAATCAGGCAACCCTCATCCATTGACCTAAAAATACTAATAGTATAAATCTTTATTGTGTTCATTTCAGAAGTAACAGGTAAAGAATAACTTCAGTCAGGAGTTTGCTTAAATAAATACAATCTGACCTTGAGACAAAAGACATGGTCAAAAGGTATAGCAGCTGCTGATGAGAAAGCATTGGAAGATAGTTCATAGCAGCTCTACGAACTGCAGCTTCTTTAGCTACTTGAAGCCACTGTGGAGTTCCAAAGTTTGCAGCTTCCCCACAATTAAAACCTGCTTAGCAAAAAAATGACCATGACAATTGATGAGACTTAAAATGTGAAAACAAAGCCTACAGTAAATTCTTAGCCACAGTAACCAGATGAGATGAACAAACAAAACAATAGACTCCAAGCATAATCCTCAGAGCAGAATAAAGAGTTCGGTAATAGGTTGTCTTTGACAATATTGGGACATGCCCAATGACATATTGGTGCAGATTCGCAAAGACCACAGCAAAATATCTCTCCTCATTGTGGAGGTGTTTGAAATAAACATGCATATTGATAACTTCTAGTTGGTCCGACTTCCAGTTCCAAGGTAACATCACATACATTTTATGGATCTTTGCAAATAAGACATCCTCTATTAGAACTCATTTTAAGTACCTTTAAACAATCTTGTTAACAAAATCACCATCAGCAAGACCTTGCTCGTTAATAATAACTAGATAACCTCATCCCCCACCCAAACCAGATCAAAACACTTTGTCAATGATGTCCTTCCTACGACCTCAGTCTTGCTCTTCCTCCCCCCCCCCCCCCCAAAAAAAAATACCCCCCGGAAGAAAATTTAGAAGAAAAAAGAATAGAAAACTATTATTCTCTTAATTAGCATAGTCATTACTTTACAAAAACGGCCAGAGGAAGCGAAACTCATCAATCCCCTACTGAGCCCTAAAATTTTGTAAGTTCAAGTATTTTCGTTAAGTCATGCCTATTATTTTCAGATCATTTACGTGAATTAAACCTCACTATCCATGACAGGTATGTTTAACCAGAAAGGAAATTAGAAAATCCTTTTTACTTGAATAAATGAAGCCATTAAAGAACCAACACATTCACTTAAGTTTGGGACAATTTCTATTTAGTAGTAATAATTGTGAAAACCAGCAACATTCTTATAAGGGTGAAAACCAACTATAAAGCAATTACCGTGGCTGAATCCTACATGGTAGGCTCTTGGAAAAGTCACAACAAATTCACCAGGATTCTGTATTAACCTAAAGAAATGAAAGAATAAAATGAGTAGAACAACAACACATTCAGAAGAAAACACCAAATGGCAGACTCTGTTGTACAGACCAGACCTCAAAAATTTTCCTAGTATGGGGATGTTAACATTCTTACATCTGTGAATTTCAAAATCATTAGGGAGCAAGGGAGACCAAGGATAAAATAGTTCAAAAGACTACTATTAACTCACCTACAACAAGGAATGCCAGATGCGACAATCAACTCAGGTGATAGAAGAGTTGTCTTCTCACCCAGTAATGACAGAGCAGCTGGTAATAAGGAAACTGAAACTGAGTTAGAAGAAAGATATAAAAGTTGCAATAATCAACTAAGATCCCGTAGTTGTCAAATATTTTACCAGAAGGGAAGTAAGCTAGACATTCTAAGAAATTAGCAAAAATCACAATTCATGAGCCTGCAACATAGTCTACAACTGGTAGGCAATAAAATTGAAGCAATTCCAAATTAGAAAGTCCAATTAAATATCAACTATAACCCCTAAATCATGAAATAAAATCACACCATCTGTTCTCAGATCCCAGCACCAGATAATGCCCAACTTAATATGAAATGAAAAAAAATGACATACCTAAGCGGTCAATATTACCACCATAAGCCTCAGTGCGGATAACTTCCTCAAAAGAAAATGCATAATCCCCAGGAACAGCATACCATGTCTTTGAAGAGCCAGTATGAAGAAAATTCATGCTGTGAAGCTCGTGATCTTCAACATGCCAGGCAAACCAGCTAAACAACATCCCAATGTAAACCATGGGAGAAGTAACGCCAGGAATATCATCAGGCATAAAACGTGTAAGTGAGCCAGCTGAGCGAGCAATCACTTGAAGGTTCCAAGGACTGTTTGAAAGCTTCCAACCAGCAGTACCTTCTATATCATTACTAGCATTTCCGCTCTTCTGTTTAGAATGAGAATTTCCATCTGATGCCATGGTTGACAATGAAGTAGATGACTTTGGTGTTTCTAAACATGTATCCGGATCACTTTTAACAGAACTATTTTTAATCTCATCAATATGTGAATTCTTTACAGTATGTATCTGATCTTTCTTGCAATCAGAGATTTCCCTCCTGTACGACATCCTCTTCCTTCTCCTCCTATGGAAATACTGAAATTGACCCTCTGGTTCCCCGAAACCTGATCCAGGGACATCATTAGCATATTCCACATATATAGGCTTTTCTGAAGCCACCTTCCAAAACAATGCCTCTATATGCAATGGAGATACCTCCTTAAGCACACCCAACAAATTCTTTGCAAAAGTCTTTGACTTGGACTCAAACTGCTCCAATGTATAAATCTCCCCACTTTGCCACACTTGCTTCTGAACACCAAATTGTGGAGTACTAGCCACCCCTTTCATTCTCTTCCCACTTTGTCCCAACTCCTGATGCCGAGTCGTAAACACTGCCCTTCCTTCCCCCTCATCGACACCAGTATCCCCAGAACTTAAAACAGAACCAACATTCTTTGATACATCTACACCACTTCCTAATTCTGGACACTTGGACAAAGACCTATTCAAGTTGTCAAAAACATACTTTTTTGATGGTTTTGGCAATGGTGGGATAATCTTACAAATACCATAAGCACCAACTTCTTTCTCAATCTTTGATATATATGCAATGGGGTCAGCAAACTCAGTATCAGTTGGCCTAAATTCAGGTGCCAATGGCAACCGTTTAAGCCATTTTGGTATTTCCAAATTTCCCATTTACAACAAAGATTCAAAACAACAACAAAATAAACCAATCAAAAGCTAAACCATTACCATACATTGTTCATGGTAGTTACAAAGTAAAGCATAAAAAAACAAAAACCTAATTCTCTAAAACCCAGATTCAATGCTTTTTACATGTTTGCTAACATGGGTTTTTCTTGTTTCCTTGTTTCCTTCAACAGAAACTACATACAGTTGCAAACTTTTAAGGTTAAAAGTTAAACTTTTTGAGTGAAAATTCTATCCAAGAAATGGGGGAAGAAAAAAAAAACCTTGGGAGCCGCTTGAAATTCTTGACAGTACTCTTCACAAGCGGCAAAGAACAGAGAAAGAGAAAGAAGGATAGGATTTGATTAACTCATTCTGTGCAAGTTAGCAGGGTAGTGTGAAAATGGGCAAACGTGCACAGTAGGTTGATGCAAATTGTGTGGACCGTACGATTTTTGGTGCTGTGATAAGGTAAGATGATATATGCGAAATAAATAATCAGTTTTTATCACTTTTTATTGTTGTAAAAACAAATTGAGATTTTTCTGGTATGATATTGGGCCACTGTTTAGGTTAAATTGTTGATCTGTACTTTAATTGTAATAGTCCAAGAGGGTAATATCGGTATTGTGTTGTAACGGTATTATCTTACAGGCAGTACCAGTATGACTCACACCGGTGATGAAAGGAATATCGAAAATCTAAGAAATTCTGTTATTTTTCTCTCTCAAATTTTCTATTTCACTTATTGCATCATTCGTTCTCTGTGAACTAGTCCTGAGTTAACTCATTTATTCAAGGGTTGCATCAATGGCATCAAAGCCTTCTTTCTGAGCATTGCGACAATCATGGCGAAAGGAATTTCTACTCGGCTTCAACGAGATGTTTCCAACGTGCAAGGTGATTTGCAGCAATTTGAAAAGACAATGGAAGAAAAGTTGTTGGAACTTAAATGGAAAATGAAAGAGGAATTATCTGCACTTAAGCAGGAGGTCAAGGGTGATTTCAGAAAAAGTTTAATGGAATTCTTAGCAGAGCGAGAAGTAAAGCATCCTGCAATTGACTCTTCCATCATCAGAGAAAGCACTCCTTTTTTGTCGTGGGATACCGGCAACCAGACTTCTCAACAGTAGCTTAAACCTAGTACGATCTACTGGTTCTAATACGTTTAGACTGTGCAAGTTAGAATGCTCAAAATTTGATGGAGATGATTTTAAACTGGATCAGTACTTTGAAGCGAAGCGAATTCCTAATGAATCAAAGGTGCGTGTGACTAGGTTGAGTTTGGAAGGGAAAGCACTTTAGTGGCATCAACACTATACTAGGTCACAAGGGGGTTTCGACAGGATGACTTGGAACATTTATGTGGCTAGTATGAATAGAGGTTCGTTTCTGAGGAATTCGAGGATCCCATGGCAGAATTGGTGGAACTCAAACAAACAGGTACAGTTGAACAGGTAACTGTTGCTAATGGTAAAGATGTGTTTACACAAGGCATTTGTCAAAATGTTACTTGGGCAGTACGGGGGAGTGAATTCAAAGCTGATCTTATGATTTTACCTTTAAAAGGTTGTGATGTAGTTTTGGGAGTCTAGTGGTTAGTTACACTGGGACCATACTGTGGGACTTCAACAATCTGACTTTGCAGTTACAGATGAAAGAAAAATAGGTGACATTACAAGGGATTAGACCCATAGAGGTGCATCTGGTTAGTGAAAAACAAACCAAGAAGCTTTTGCAGTCCTTGATGGTGCACAATAGTTACAACCTTTGCACTCTGATGAGTTATAGAGGAATACATGTGCAGTTGAAAATGATTACTGGTACACATTAAAGGCAAGATGCTATTAATTAAGGGTTAAATAAGTTACTAAAGGAGTATGAGGAGCTATTTGAACTGCCTACATGTCTGCCTTCAAATGGGCCCCAAAATCACAAAATTCCCTTGATGAAACCTAGGTTGTGAGAATTAGGTCATATCGATATCCATCCATACAAAAAGATGAAATAGAGAAAATGATAAAAGAGATGTTAGCTTCGGAAGTACTAAGGAACAGTAATAACTCGTTTACTTCCCCTATAGTTATAGTGAAGAAGAAGAATGGATCTTAAAGATTATGTGTTGATTATAGACAACTCATCAGTTAACCATCAAGGATAAATTTCCCATTCCCCTAGTAGAGGAGTTGTTGGATCAGTTGGCAGAGGCACGTGTTTTCGAAACTGGACCTATGATCAAGTTACCATAAGATTCGTATGCATGAAGCTGATGCTTACAAAATCGATTTCAGAATACATGAGGGCCACATGAATTGTTAGTCATGCCATTCGGCTTGACTAATTCGTCATCCACCTTTCAAGGCTTGATGAACAACCTTTTCAAGCCCCATCTGAGGAGGTTTGTTTTGATTTTTTGTGATGACATTTTTGTGTATTCTGATAATTGGAAGTCAATAGTTGCAGCATCTAAGAATACTTTTTGAGATTCTCAAAGTGAGTCAGCTCTTTCTTAAGAAAAGCAAATGCTAGTTTGTTGCTCAGGAAGTGGAATATTTGGGGCATCTTATTTCAGGGGAGGAAGTGTCCATGGACAAGAAAAAAGTCTAATGTGTGGAATGGCCGAGACCTAAGTCCTTGAAGGAGTTGAGAGGTTTTTCTGGGATTAATAGGTTACTATAGAAGGTTTTATTAAGGATTATGGAGTAATTGCTAAGACTTTAACTGATCTATTAAAGAATGATGCTTTTACATGGAGTGATAAGGCACAGGTAGCATTTGAAAGGCTCAAAGTAGTCATAACTACTGCTTCTGTGTTAGCATTTCCAGATTTTTCTCAAGAATTTGTAATAGAGACAGACGCCTCTGGCATTAGAGTAGGAGCTGTTCTCTCTCAGGGTGGCAGACCTTTGGCGTATTTCAGAAAGGCAATATCTCATAAACATCAAGCTTTCTCTATTTATAACAAAGAGATGATGGCTGTCTTAATTTATGTCAATAAATGGAGCGCAAACTTGGTGGGAAGATATTTCAAGATAAAAATAAGCCATTAAAGCCTTAAATTTCTATCTGACAAACAAACTACTACATCCGCTCACCATTTTTGGATCACCAAAGCGATAAGCCACGATTATGAGCTATGTTACAGAAAAGGGGTTTCTAACAAAGTGGCTAACTTGTTTTCTAAAAGTCTACCTGAGCCAGAAGGAAGTTTAATGACACTCTCCTTTATGAGTACAGATTTACTTAGAAAAATTGTTCAGTCATGGGAGTTGGATCCCCAAGTACCAAAGGTAGTTTTGGCACTTAAGGATTCCCAAGGTGTTCATTCTAAATATATCTTGCATGGGAATTTGTTGAAAATGAAGGGCAGATTAATGGTGGAGCTACTGTAATACTTTCATAATAGTCCCACTGGGGGTCATTCGGGTGTACAGGCTGCATTGAATAGGATTTTCAGTGTTCTTTACTGGAAAAGCCTGAGAAAGGAGGTTCAAAGGTTTGTCAGAGAGTGTTCAGTTTGCCAACAACATAAATATGATAATGCAGCCAGTCCTTGGTTGCTACAGCCACTTCCCATGCCAGATAGAATGTGGGCAGACATCTCTATGGATTTCATAGAGGGGCTTTCAAGGTCTTAGGATAAATAAGTGATAATGGTAATGGCGGATCAGCTTAGCAAGCATGAGCAATTCATTACACTTGCACACCCATTTACTGCCTTAACAGTAGCTCAAGCCTTAATGGATCAAGCTTATAAGCTCCATGGCATGCCCAATACTATTGTTTCTGACACAGAAAAAATATTCCTAAGCAATTTTTGGCAGGAATTGTTTAAGAAATACGGGATAACTTTTAATCTCTCAACAGCGTATCACCCCTAATCTGATGGACAATCAAAAGTAGTTAATAGGTGTCTAGAGACTTATCTGAGATGTATGACTAGCGAGAAACCCAAAGAATGGAGTCAGTGGCTTTCTCTAGCAGAATAGTGGTATAACACTAACTACCATACTGCTATACACACAACTGCCTATGAAATTGTGTATGGTCAACCAGCACCTATACACTTGCCTTATTTAGCTAGGGATTCCATTGTGGAAACTGTTGATAGAAGTCTTCAAGCTAGGGAAGCAACGATTTAAATGCTTAAGTTCTAGCTACATAGGGCTCAAGTAAGAATGATGAATGTAGCTGACAAAAGGACTGATAGAGAATTTGAACAAGGGGAATAGGTGTATTTTAAGCTACAACCTTAGAGACAAAAGTCTGTTAGCAACAAGAGCTATCTAAAATTGTCTGCCAAGTAGTTTAGTCCTTTTCAGTTTGTCAAGAAAATTGGGAAAGTGGCCTACACTTTACAATTACCCCCTGGATTTAAGGTGCACCATACATTCCATGTTTCCCAGCTTAAAAAACACATTGGTAGTATTCCTACATAAGTCCAGCTGCCGTTGGGAATGATGGCACCATCAATAAAGAGCCTTTGAGGATCATCAAAAGAAAGATTAGCCAAAAAGGAAACGGAGTTGTGACTAAGGTTTTGGTTCAATGGACCAACACCTTTCCAGAAGATGCGACTTGGGAGGTTTTTTATGATCTCCAGAGGAAGTTTCCAGCCTTTAATCCTTAAGGACAAAGACTTCTTACAGGAGAGGAGTATTGATATATGCTAAATAAATAATCAGTTTTTATTAGTTTTTATTATTGCCAAAACAAAATGAGATTTTTCTGATATGATATTGGGACACCGTTTAGGCCAAATTGTTGATCCAGTAGTGGTTTAGTTGTAATAATTCAAGAGGGCAATATCGGTATTACGGTGTAATGATATTGTCTGACAAACAACACAAATATGATGCACACTAGTGATGAAAGGAATATCGAAAATCCAAAAAATTATATTATTTCTCTCTCTCAAATTTTCTCTCTTCTCTCCTTCACTCATTGCATCATTCTTTCTCTGTGAACAAGTCATTACTTGACTCACTTATTTAAGGGATTGTAGAATAAGATTGGGTGTGTAATAATAATATTAGGCCACTTGCATATAAAAATTAATAGAAAGGGACATCTAAGGTGTATATGTCCTACATGGTATATATGAATCTTTATCTCTTGATCAAAAGGTATAGAATTTAGAATCTTGATTGAGTTTATGAGACCTCCAAATTAAATTATGTTTTTTGGAGTAAAAAAAACTATTTTTAATATATAATTTACATATTAGTGATGAAGTTATTTTATTTTATAAATAAATTTATGAGCTTTTTTCATGGCACTTTAAAATTTTTATTTCTTAATAAGGATTCTTAATGTCAAGTTGATGAAACAAGATTTTTTTGATAATTTAAGGGGGATCAATTCATCAAGGATCACTAAGAATTTTTTTTTTTTTTAAGTGAGCTCAAGGCAGCATTTTTATTAATTAAAAAACATATCACTTACAAACTGAAGACCAGTTTTGA